CATAAAGTAAACATGACAATATAGGTTATGTGGGCAATAGAGCTCTCATGTTTTTGTAAAAAATTTCAAAGAAGTCTGCCATTAAGAAATTGGAAAATTGTGTTAGCTCAATATTCTCTTTTCTCTTCTTTTTGGTAAAGTTAGCTCAATATTCTTAAGAAGCAAAAAAGAAAACAGTTTTATTCAATCAATCAATCAATGGAAAAGCCATGTGTCAAGCAGCCTCTCGCATGTGTTGATGATTCCCTTGTGTTGCCAATACCAGCAGCAGCACAGTATTTTCCATTTGCATTTTTTTTTCTTTCAACCTTGTTAAAACCAAATTAATAGAAGCTAGCACATGACGACCCAACTTCTCCACACATAATTATTATGCTAAATGAATAACATTGCAATATGTTTTCCTTTTGTTGGGAAAAAAAAATCGAAGGGTCTAGCTGCAACATAGTGTTTAGTGGGGTCACTTGATCCATTGAAATTTAAGATTCTTTCATAATATACATGAGTTAGTGTAATAGAGTGAATCCTAAATTGATCCCATTGAAAAAAAGCTTAAGACTCATTATATAATATATAAAAATGGGGTTCAATATAATTATAATACAATATATATAGTTAATTGTAGAAAGTAGGGATATATATTTGGCTTTTATTCAAAAAAGAAAAAAAATAGCCAAAGTAAGGATAAAATATGAAAACTTGTCATAATTACAAGAGTAAGAGAATATCTTTACATTGGCATTTTTTTATCAAGCATAAAAAAAATCCACAATTAGAACCAACATCCTCACATAAATTGATGGGGAAATTAGTGAAATTTCTTTTCTTTTCTTTTAACTAAAGGTTAGGCATGAATCCAAAAGAGAGTTAAAATTGTTGAAGATCCCTCTCACCTTTTCTTTATTTCTTTTAAATAAAGGAACTAAATGATTGGCTGATAGTGACAAAGTATCTACTTTCTTATAGGCAAGTTTCGCCCTTTGGCTCCTTCCCATCTGTAACTATGATTAAAAAAATATAAAAGAATTTCGATTGCTTAGTTCTTTTTTCGTTACATATATTTTAAATTACATAATGGGAGGAAATTATTTTTTTATTTCATTAATCTCACAATCGTGTAGTGAACATACCAACAAGTTTAGTAAGAAATGTAATCTATATAATATAAATTTAAATAATCTTTTATTGACATATTGGTAAACTTGTTTTCGATTTGTATAGTTTTGATATAAACTTGGTTTTATATAAATTTTATAATACATAATAAAATGAATCAAGAAAAAAAATATATCCGAAACCTTCAAAATGGTGATATAAAAATTTTAATTACTAAGTGTTCCTTAAGTAATCAATTCTTTAACTTTAGGACTAATTTTTTTTGTTTTAAATTTATCACGGCCGTGGGGTGGATACACCAACAAGTAAAGTAAGAAAGGGATTTTAATTTTATTTAATATATAAATAAATAAAATCACGTGAAACTTGGGAACTCTTTTATGAAAGCAACTTGCTTTGTTGGGCAAAATGGAAAAGGCGGATCGAAACAACTTGCTTTTCACTAAATATTTAATTTAATTGATTAATAATGGGATGACTTCATTTTCCACATGTTATTGATAAATTAATGTTCATGCCATTGTGTGGACAGAATTGAATTATCAATTCGATGGAATCCACTTCAGATTTCAAATTAATTGATCAATTGATATTTTCCGAAGGCTAAATGTATCAATCCTGCTTTGACATTTATGGATTCCTCTCACCCTAATCTGCCTTCAATGCTGACAAAGAAACCTGTTGATTACCAATAAAATGAAATAACTAAATACCATTCGACGCAATTCAACTTTTGATTTAAATGGAATTTTTATTACTTGAAAAATTAATGAAAAAGATTTATTGCTGAAAAAGAAATATTCATTGGAAGTGACATATATATATATAGAGAGAGAGAGTAACGAAGCTAGTTAATTTTTATTGAAAGTGTCAAAGATGAAAAATATAAAAATTAAAAATTTTTAAAACTAATATATTGAGTGTAAGAAATAATCAAAAGATTCATAATAAACAATAATTTTATATAACATATAAATAAAAAAATAAAAAAATATTCATAATAATTTTATAAATATCATATTTTGCTTGAAAAGTATCAATTTTTTCAAAATTGAGCTTAAAATGTTTTAATTCATATTACTCTTTTTCATAATTTGAACTATTGAGACTTGATGGTTCAAGTATAAAAAAATTATTTAAAAGTTACTCATATTTTAATTAAATCTGATTTTTTTTTAATCCATAGTTACATAACATATATGAGGTCACCGGTGGGACTTACGGGGGAGAGGTTGAGAATCGTAAGGGCTCTACGAGACTGAAGGGTGCTCGAGGAAAGAGAAAAGAACACCTAACAAGAAAGTACTCTTGATAAAGGATTTTAAGAAAGTACTCTTGGAGATAAAAGATTTATTATAGTTTCAGATGGAGTACGTTGATGCATATAAATGGCGTTTTCAACAATTCTTTTAAATTCAATTTTTGGCATATGGGGATAGGTAAAGGAAGGAGCTACGATTCGAGTCTTGAATAGATTTGATAATTTGAACGTGCTCCGCCGACACAGAATAATGATTTATAAATTTGGCAATTATTGTTCTATATCTTTATCAAATAGTTCAAATATAAACTATTAAAAATTATTTAAAATAATTATGAACATAACATGATTAATGAAATGTATCATAATTTTAAACATATATACAGACATGACACGAATTATAATATGTCAAATAATTAATATGATTAAATTAAAATGCATATAAAATTACAAATAAAATATACTCTACCATCATTATCAATCATAATAAAATTATAATAAATCAGGAGATGAAAAGACCCGAAGATTCTAAGATTTCAGATGAGAACTGGGAGGAAAGGGAAGAAGTGGATTGATCCATGAAGAAGGTGGAGGAAGGGGAAGCCGAGACGGCTGGTGTAGTGGAGCGGTCGTGCTAGTGGGTAGCAGTGGCAAGGTGGCACAACAGGTGCGGCTGTGCAAGGTGTGTAATGTTAGAAATAAGTTGGCTGGGGTTAAGGTGGGAATTCAGAAGAAAAACGTCCAAAAGAGTAGGATTTGAAGAAAATTGAATATTTATATGAATTTTAAACGAGCCATAATTGGACCATAAATGAGTTAGGAAGACTTGTTAACACAAATAATTAAATGGGTAATGGGCTATGCAAGCACACGATAATATAATTAACTAATCAAGTTTTAAATGAGTTAAAAGGATTTGACAGATTTAAAAGATGAATATTTTGTGTCTAAATAATGTTGACATATTAATGCATAAAGCATGATACTGTAAATCTAAACCTACTTAACTCTAAGCCGTTTTATTGTATTATGTCCAAAATCACTAGATCTAACCATTCCTTCATATGACAAAAATAATTGTATCTTAATTATGCAAATTGATACTTTTAAACGCATATGATATATTTATATATGTTTAATTAATTTTATTAATAAGTTAACTCACATTACATAACCCGTTCAAACTAATCTATTAAATTATTAATATTATAATATATAAAATAAATTTTTATGCATATTTAAATGAATTAACCTTATCGTGTCTAAACAATTTAATTATAGTTAAATACATTAATTATGAATTGTCTTGTAATCGGTGTAATAAACGCATCATGTTCATGTTCGTGTACATTACAAATTCAATTCTTCAATAGAGAGTAACATTCATCTTTCTTTTGCAACATAATGATCAATAATAATAACAATAATAATAATTATTTATTATTTGCTCAAAGGAAACTAGAAAATGTACAAGTGTACTAGAAAAGTATCTTAATAGGTGTATCAAACTGTTAAAGCCGAAGCAACCTAGCAAAAGAATTAAAAAATGAGAATTGCCTAAATTTGGGACAGATGGGTTTATATATAGGAACAAAGGGTGCTACGTTTGTGTATTCTGCCACTGGACCGGAAAAAAAGAAAAAAACAGGAAACAAAAGTTATATATATGAAAAAATTACCTTCTAGATTTAAATAATATTGAAGATATTGAGGATAAAAGTTGAACCAATCTTGATGAAATTAGGTGAGTTATCGAAAATCAATTTGATCCAATTTGAGTTGAGTTGATATTAAAAAAGTGAAAATATATTTATAAAAAAGATTGAAAATATAAAAAACAAACAATGTATTCAACTTTATCAAATACCACTACTTATTGTTAGAGATGAAAAAGAATACTAACAAGAGCCAAAATTACTATTCTATTAAATTGAGAATTTTTTAATTTATTACTCTTCTTTTTCTATCTTGATATTTTGTGCAATTTTATCACTATTTGGATGAAAAAGTAATGTTCCATTGGTTTTTGTTAATGTGAAAAATATCAAACTAACTATTTTTTTTAAAATGTCAAAAAAGGATAATATCGACAATTAAATAAAAAATAATTTGATTTTTTTTTGAAAAAAAATGCTAACAAATCCAATAATTTAGACGAAGTTACCAGTCAAAATTTTTTTATAGATGAGTTAATACATGGTGACAAATATTTAATGAGACATTTTTATGTTGTCATCACTTCACCCGTTAATAATTTTTAAATTATAGAGAAAATTATATTTTTCACATTCATCTTTTTAATTCGGTTCAATTCTTTCTCTC